AAACAGAATTTAGAGCACACAAAAGTATCAACAACTAATGCATTTAAACAAAGTACACAAATCCACATGAATAGCCTTCTTATTCTTTCTACTATTTCTCAATACTTGAGCAATACACCTCAGGCCTTAGAACTGAAAAGCTAGACCTCCAAAATGTAGCATGCCAACAGACAACATAAGCTTCAGCCACAACATCACAAACGGCTAAGGAAAACAACCTAAAAAGCCTAATTTTCATTCTCTTATCTCATGCTTAAGTTAATAACATTCAAGGACCAAATAACAGAAACAAAGGCTCTAAAAATACTCCATCTACAGCATGCTAAACACATCATATTATCTCAACAAAAGGAGCTACACAGATGACATAAAATTCACATGAAACCCATATCAGTTCTTCTTCATTTTCACCAAGTCAAAGCATGCCATTTCCTAACTTTTAAAAACTGAAACAAGCTCATCTACTCGGCCATAAAATGAGGTGTAAGGTCCAGCCTATTACCTCTTATGAGAAGGTTAAAAAAAAAATGGGACTAGGCTCGGTCAGAGGTGGCTCTTGAGTCTAGGGCTGAAAAGGGCCTTGGCTGAGGCTCTCGACTCTCGACTCTTGCAGACGGAAAAGCTCGGCTCGCTCCAGTCGGGGTGGATTGGCCCTTGGCTGACCGCAAGGTCCCTGCTTTAGCGGGAAATAGTTCGGGCCTCCTCGTCTGGACTCGATGCGCTTGGGTGCGCTCAAATTTGGACCGGGCAACAACGGACCCGGTCAAACCCGTTCAAAACCCGGCCGACCCGGCCTTGACCCGGTCGACTCGGGGCATTGATCCAGCTGGGTCAACCCGGTTGACCCGATCCCTATATGTATTTTTTTATTTTTTATTTTTTGTTTTTTAATTTTCTTTTTCTTTTTAAAAGATAAAATTATGCATATATATTTATAGGGTAAATATATACATATTATTACCACTTTAATCTACAAATTTTACATACAAAACATTTAAATTTGTTATTTTTATGTATATTTATGTATCACAAAATACTCTATATATAATTTTGTAAATTTTAAAATTAATTATCCGGTTCAACAATTAACCCGGTGACCCGGAGACCTGCCCGGGTCGATTTTCGGGACGGGTTTACAAACTATGATAAATATATAATTTGGCAGAACAACATTTAATTTATTCTAATGCATTTAATTATATTTTCCCTCCAATTTTTTCAGCATTTAATTATATTATTTCACTTCCCTTCAATGCATTTAATTATATTATTTCACTTCTCTCAAATACATTTAATTATATTATTTCACATCCCTCCTAAACCTGCTACATATCTTATATTGTTTTTTTTTAATTTTCTTTGTTACCACACATAATCAATAATTACATTTATTTTTCACCTAAATTTTTTTATTGTATTAAAACGATTATCCTCTATTTTTCAAGTAACTCCGGGCTTGCTACACCTAATCAATAAGCACTTCAAAAAAAAAAAAAAATAGAAAAACATTAGGAGCTGGGCATGCTTCCGTAACATACATTAAACCAAGAATTGAATTCTGTATGTATTCATTATTCTCTAATTTAATACTAGTAAGTAAAAATTTAATGCAAAATTTAAGAAAAGATTAGTTACCAAATAATGTGCAAACTTTTGAGCGGAAATTTGGTAGTTTTCTTTACTTTAACTAGTACAGAGCCCGTGCGATGCACGGGATGTATAATTTTAAGGTTATTTATCTATTCTTATAATTATATAAATGAAAGAAATAAAAATGTACGGGGTATATATAGTACGTGACCTGTAATAGGCCAAAATGTGAACACGAGTGATGCACGGGGTGCACAATTTTAAGGTCATTTATTAGTACAGAGCTCGTGCGATGCACGGGGTGCACAATTTTCTAGTATGTGTAATAAAAATACATACCGTATGCACGAGACAGAAGCACTAAATGAGTCATTTCCACAGAGCTTGCCCGTTAAGTAGCTCCTGAACACGGGTGCACAATTTGTAGTACGTACTACAAAATCAGAACAGATTTCTATACAATTAGATAATAAATTAGATAATAAATAAAACTTTTTTATTTTAGTAAAGATTTTACGTACTTTGTTTTTTTTTACTTATTGGATGTTATGAGATTTTTTTTGTTAAACCGATTTTATGGAATATAATACAAATACAATTAGAGGATTGAACAAAATCAGAACAGATTTTTATACAATTAGATAATAAAAAGGAATTAGATAAAGAAAATAATGAATTAGATAAGAAAAAGAAGGAATTAGATAAGGAATTCCGAATCTGACTTTTTATTTTGATAGATAGACTTTACGTACAAATTTTGACTTCACTGATTTTATGGGATTTATTTTGGCAAAATCGATGTTAATATGGAATAAGAAAAACAAATAAAGTCTTTTTATTTTAGTAAAGATTTTACGTCTTGGCAGGGGTCGACGCGTTCTTTCTTTTACCGGTGGTGTCGGTCGGAGTAGGGATGCGGCGGTGCGGTGGCTTTGGGCATCTTCCATGCTGTCTCGGGTTGGGGCTGGGGCCGCGGCACTCTGGTGTCCGTTCGGGGCATTCGGGTCATGTGGCCGTGGTGCGGGGTGGCTTCGTTTTGTTCCATGGTTAGGGATTCGACTCCGTTAGGCAACCGTGTGGTTTGGGCAGTTTTGGGGTCGGTTCTTTGGCTGCGGGATTCTAAGTCGCTTTGTTCCCGTTGGCTCGGCTAGGTGTGTTACTTGGAAGGGCTCGTTTAGTTTAGTTGCTTGTGTTTTCTTTTTTTTGGTAGTTTTGTGTTTCTTTGACTTTTTGTGTTTGTTAGTTTGTGTGGTTTAGGTTTGTTTTTTAGTCTGTGCGTGATTTTTGGTCTTGTTTTTTAGGTTTGGGCCGTTGGCCCCAGTTCTGATTCCCCTGTGGGGGGCATTTCTATTCTCCTGTGGGGAGCGTCCGTAGTTGGTGTGTTAGTGTTTTTAGTTGTGTGTTGTGTGTGTCTATTCTAGCGTTGCTAGCGAGGCTCTAGGCGGTCTTTCGTTCCGTCCTCTCAGTTTTTAGTTCTGGGTTGTAATATTCAGCCTTGGGCTGCGTTTGCACAGTTGTGCGTTTTGATATCTAATATTTCTATCGTTTCGGAAAAAAAAAAGATTTTACGTCTTTTTTTTTACTTGTCATATGTTATGAGATTTTTTTTTTAAAACTGATTTTATGGGATATAAGACAAAAAATAAAATAATTAAATAAAATTCTGGATAGAAATAGCAATGCATTAATTACGTTGATTTTTCAATCTACTAAATTTGGTAAATAGGATACCTTATATAAAAAAATGCTCCCCTACTCACGGTGGGCACATGTTAATATGCCCACCGCGTAGGTGGCATGCATTTATTGGTGATGTATTTTTTTGAACATATTAACATCACTAATGAGTGCATGCCACCTACGCGGTGGGCATATTAACATATACCCACCGTGGGTAGGTGATCATTTCTCACCTTATATAATAAGTATAGATACAAATAAATAACATGTCAAAATTTTAAATAATAATTAATGTATTTTAATTTATTATTTAGTCATCATTAATATTATTTAATGATGTGATCATTATCTCGTAAATGATAAATAAAATATTAATTTAAAAACAAATATTTGTTTTTTATATACTCAAGTAAAAATTAAAAAATACTATCGACAAACGTGAATTATAATATATATCAGTAAAATCATTGTAGAAATTAATAAAATTATTTAAGGAAAGAATCTTTTTAATCATATTTGAATAGGAAATGTATATATGCAAACAATTAATGCATATAGTAAAAAAAATTTAAATAAAATATGCATTAAATATGAGTTGACTTTTTTTGCTACTATTTTTGGTAAATAGTATGACTTTTAATATAAGTATAGATATGTATATAAATATAGATTTAAAATTTTATTTATATATGCATTATAGATACCAAAATAAAAACATATAAAATATTTATTTATTATATTAAATGTGGATATTATATTAGTTATGATTTTTTTCTATTTTACTTTGCAGTTTCCCAATATAACCCAAAAATTAATATTGTGTTTGATGTTCGAAACAAATTGTAAGACAAAAACATTACTTTAAAATTTATTTTAGTAGTTAATTAATGAGATTGATATGTTTTATAAGAAAAAAATATAATATATACGGAAATGAATTCATACTCACAA